GGATACTCTTAAGGGACCTTGGCCAAGTTGTAGACCTTCTTCAAACCTGTTTACTCATCATAACTAAGGCTGATGATACTAATATTTCCCCCTGAGGTTCTTGGGAGGATGGAATGTGTGAGAAGGCATGATAATATTAATAACAATGTCCAATATTAACACCATCATTAGGCATTCTCATGATGACTCTGAAGGGGAGCTCTTAGGGAGGGCACAGCATGGGGTGGTGTTGGAGAACACGATCAGCTGAGGGATGTCTTTTCTGCAGCAATGGAAGAGCTGGATGGTGATGAAGTGCGCGTGTCCTCTAGGGGACGCTATGCAGAGCGGGACATCGTTCAGGTAGACCTGACTCCGGAGAGGTGGTGGAACTGAGAGGCACAGTGGGAAGAGGCAAAGTTGGGAGCCACTCTCCTTTACTGCCTTCTCTATCACCTGCCCTTCTCCCCCTCACTCTTTCATCCTCTTTCATTCATTGAATACATTCTTTTAACAAACAGGAAGGTTGCTTCAGACTTGGTAGGTCCATGGTGTAGAGATCCCCAAGGTCCTCGCCCTCTAGTGGAGGCAAGTAATAATAAATAATCGCACAGCTATGTATCTCATTAGACTGTGATACGGACCGCAGGGGAATAGCAAATCCTACTGTGAAGGTCTGTGACAGGGGACCTGACTTCGGTACAGGAGTCAGGAAAGGGTTCTATCTGAAAACGTTTTTGCTGAGACCTAAAGGTGGGTATGAGCATTACAGGGAGAGGAGCAGCATATGAAGAGGCTCTGAGGCCAAGAGGCCTAATCAAGAAAAAGCCAGAACCCATGGTGGCAGGATCACACTGAGTGAGAGAAGGAAGCCAAACTTCGGAGTACTGCTTTTTTTTTTTGAGACAGAGTTTCTGTCACCCTGGGTAGAATGCCGAGGCGTCATCGCTGACAGCAACCTCAAACCTCTTGGTCTCAAGTGATTCTCTTGCCTCAGCCTCCCCAGCAGCTGGGACTACAGGCACCCGCCACAATGCCTGGCTAGTTTTTCTATTTTTAGTAGAGATGGGGTCTCACTCTGGTCTGGAACTCCTGAGCTCAGGAGATCCACCCACCTCAGCCTCCCAGAGTGCTGGGATTATAGGTATGAGCCACCATGCCCAGTTCTTTTTTTTTTTTTTTGAGGCAGAGTTTTACTATGTCATCTTCAGTAGAGTGCTGTGGCATCACAGCTCACAGCAACCTCAAACTCTTAGGATTAAGAGATTCTCTTGCCTCAGCCTCCCAAGTAGGTGGGACTACAAACGCCCGCGAAAATGCCTGGCTATTTTTTTGTTGCAGTTGTCATTGTTGTTTAGCAGGCCCAGGCCGAGGTCAAACCCGCCTTCCTCGGTGTATATGGCCAGCGCCCTAACCACTGAGCTACAGGACCCAAGCCCATGCCCAGTTCTTAAAGAATTGGAAAGCTCTTGGAAGATTTTTACATAGGGGAGTGCAATGATCAGACTTATATTTTTAATTTTTTTTTTGAGAGTCTCACTATGTCACCCTCGGTAGAGTACTGTGGCATCATAGCTCACAGCAACGTTAAACTCTTGGGCTTAAGCAATTCTCTTGCCTCAGCCTCCCAAGTAGGTGGAACTATAGGCGCCTGCCACAACACCTGGCTATTTTTTGGTTGTAGTTGTCATTGTTGTTTGGCAGGCATGGGCTGGGTTCAAACCCACCAGCTCTGGTGTATGTGGCTAGTGCCCTAGCCACTGAGCTACAGGCGCTGAGCCCAGACTTACATTTTTAAAAGATTCCTACGGCTGCTACATGGAAGATGGGACTGTAGCAGGGCAAGAGAGAAGGCAGATAGACCCATTAACGAGGATGTCATAGTGAGAAGGAGAAGGATCTGGATGGAAGCAGTGTGGTGTTTTAGAAGATATGTAAGAAGAAAATGACAAGACTTGATGATCTGATTAGAGGGAGATGGGGAGTGAGGGGGCTTTAAGGATGACTTGCAGTCTTCTACCTGGAGCAGCAAAGTGAGTGATGGTCCCATTTACTGGGAAGGGGAAAGCTGAGGAGGAGATATGGCACAGAGAGCTAGAATTCAGTTGTGGACACACTGGGTTTGAGGTATGTGTGACAACTGAATGGAGAGGCAATATGGGTTAACTAAATATGTGCTTCTGGACCTTAAAAAAGAGGCAAGCTGGCGGGTTCAAATCCAGCCTGGGTCCACCAAACGATGGCTGCAACCAAAAAATAGCCGGGCATTGTGGGGGGCGCCTGTAAACCCAGCTACTTGGGAGGCAGAGGCAGGAGAATCTCTTGAGCCCAGGAGTTGGAGGTTGCTATGAGCTGTGATGTAACAGCACTCTACCCAGGGCAACAGCTTGAGGCTCTGTCTCAAAAAAAAAAAAAAAAAAAGGCCAGGGACGGAAATATAAATTTGGGAGTCATTAGGAAAGTTTCTTCTTCTTCTTTTTTTTCTTTTTATATACTTCTCCTTTCTCTTATCAGTCCTCCTCCCCTAGCAACCCTTCCTTCTCCTTCTCTTCCAGACCCCCTTTCCTGGCTTCCTCCCCTTCCCAGTCCTCTTCTCACAGACCACGCCCCCTTTTTGTCCCAACCCCATCCCTCTGACCTATTCCCCTTGTCAAGTCCCCTTTTCCCTGATCCCTGCCCCATCTCTCCCTGGCCTCTCTTCCTTCCCACACCCTCTTCTCTTCTCCTGGCCCCCTCCAGGGCACAACTTTCATGGAAGTAGATGAGATCACCCAGGAAGAGAGCTGAGAGAGAAAAGGGACCATGTTTAGGGAGCAAGTAGATCCAGAGGAATGAGGGGTGGTAGGTTGGGGGGGAGGAACTTCCAGAAAGGTAGAGAAAAACTTAAGAAGAGTATAGCATCTAGAGTGGGATGTGTCCAAAAGGATCATAGTGGAATGTAGTGGAAAGCTAAAGTGAAGTCCAGGAAGATGAGGACTGAAAACTATTGCCCACTGGACTGATTTAGCAACATGGGACTATTGATGATGTTAGCAAGAGCAGTTTCAGTGGACAGCATGAAGCCAAACTGGAGTGGGTTAAGGGCGAATAGAAGGTAAGAAAAAGAGTGGGTGGAGAGAAAGCAACTGTAGAAAACTGTTCAAGATGGGGGGAAAGAGATGGCGTGAAATTTGAAGAGATGCTGGGGGGTCAAAGAAGAATCCTCCCTGCTGGCACCCCCATCTCCTTTTCTGGCCACTGCCCACACCTTCTTGTCTGTGCCTGTCCCAGTTTGTCCCATTCCGAGACTATGTTGACCGGTCCGGGAACCAGGTGCTGAGCATGGCCAGACTGGCCAAGGATGTACTGGCAGAGATCCCGGAGCAGCTGCTGTCCTATATGCGCACCAGGGACATCCAGCCTCGGCCCCCACCCCCTGCTAACTCCAGTCCAACCCCAGCTCCAGAGCAGCCCTGAGGAGTCCACATATCCAATGCCTAGCAGTCTGCTCACCTGCACACCCACTGCTTCTGCTAAAAGCCAGAGGCACCTGGAGCCTTGGACCTCATTGGGAGGGTCAGCTCAGAGGATTGGTGCTGGCTGACAAGCCCTCCACACCCTCACCTGCAAAAGGGCCTGCCACTATCACCACCTCCCTGCCTTTATGCCAATAATAAAGCAAATCTTTACCCCCCACTCTGTCTCGTGGATCTTGGAGAGGGAAGAAGAGGGGACCCAGTGCCCAGGACCATACCAATAGGGAGGGAGCAAGGATGGCTTCAGCTCAGGCTCATCGCTCCCCTAACACACATCCATCCAATCACCTTATACATTCTTCAAACACTTTAAGAAATAAGTACAATTCTGCATATGTGTGTATGTTTTCTTAGGAAAGAGGCCCATAGCTTTCATCAGATTCACTTCTCAAACAGGTTCATGCCTTGTCAGCTTTAAGGTGACTCTATATAGGCTTGGTGAACATAGCACAGTGGTTACAGCGCCAGCCACATACACCAAGGGTGGTGGGTTCAAACCCGGCCCAGGCCAGCTAAACAACAATTGGTGGGTACCTGCAGTCCCAGCTACTTGGGAGGCTGAGGCAAAAGAATCGCTTAAACCCAAGAGTTGGAGGTTGCTGTGAGCTGTGATGCCATAGCACTGTACCAAGGGTGACATAGTGAGACTCTGTCTCAAACAAACAAACAAAAATGACTCTATATAATTCTGCTATGATCCATTTATTCTGAAATTTTCAATTAAGGGTGATAACTGCTAATTTTTTTTTACATTCACTACATATCCAATATTATACTAGGTGATTTACAAGCACCATCTCATTTAATTTTCACAACCACCCTCTAAAAATAGGTACTACATATTGTTCCCATTTTATACATTAGAAAACTGAGGCTCTGAAAGGGTTAAGTCCCTTCTTTACAAGAACTCATCAGTTTGACTTCAGATCCCAAGATCTTATCCAGCAAACATCTTCTTGGAGTGTCAATTTTATTGGGATGTTCTTTGGAAAACATCATGTGTGGAAACATACATTTTAGTGGGTCAAATGCAAAGTTTGCATTAAGATAAAACTGACGCTTTCAGAGGCTTTGGGCTTTGCACCAGAACCCTAAAAGACTCCTTCAAGACAAAGCATTGTTTAACCCTTGTCTCCCGGGCATCCAAGGTCTCTAAAGCCTCCTGGAAATAACAATAGCGTTTTGAGTTCTGTTTTAAAAGACAGAACTCGAGGGAGAATTTAACAACTTGCCCACGTTCACATTGCTAGTAAGTGACCCAGTCCCACAAAATTAGCTTTGTGTTTCGATACCATCTCCCAACCGGCAACCTGTAGCCATGCAGAATATCCCCGCCAACCCACAGGGTTCCCAGCACCTGAATCCCACTTCACCATATACACTCACCAGCCTCCTGCACCGCTTCAAACCTGACCTTTTGATTCAAATCCCCACCCTCCCTGCAGCCCCTCACTTTACCTTTCCCGAGTAGCTTCCCTTCGGTCCTGCCCTGTTATCCCTAAAGGGTCCTGCTCTTTCCTCGCCCCTTGGCGAAGCTTCCCCAAGCCCCGCCCTTTTTCTTCCGCCTCGTGCCGTTTTTTCCCAGCTCTATACTTTATCCCTAGCCCAGCTCCACCTTCCAGGCCCATATAAAACTCCTCCTTTTCTTTCCTGAGGCCCCCTATTCTGTTTAGCCCCACTCTACTTCGCTATTCTCCAGCCCCTTTCCTTCCTGACTGGGCCCAGCTGCCCAAAGAGCCCCTCCCCCTTTCCTTAAGCCCCGCCCACAGACGGGCTATTCTTCCGGCCCCGCCCCGCCCCTACCCATAACTCCAGGCCCCCTTAGGCTCCAGCCCGCGTCCTTCTGGCTCCCAGCCCTGCCCTAAGCCCCGCCCCGTGGCTCTGGCCCCGCCTCGCCGCCTTCCTCCGAGACCAAGGCCAGGTCCCCACCGCAGCCGCGGCGCCAGCAAGAGGGAGGGAGCAGGGAAGGAGGAGGCAGAGGGGGAGGGGAGAAGGGCGGGCTCCTCACACCCAGCCCCGCGCTCACCGTCTGTGGCCGCAGATTCGCCATAAACGGCCCAAAGACCTCGGATCCCTAGGACAGCGACTTCAGTCTCCAGAGACTCAACTCTAAGATGGAGGTACTAGAGGAGTCCCGAGAGGTGTCGGAGACCCTTTCCGAGTCCCAGAGGATGGCCTCTCGACCTTCGGTGAAGGGGTGGGGATCTGTGGCGAAAGTGCAGCTCAGCAGCGCCGCAGCGCCGCATTTACCCTGCGCAGACGCCGTCGCCGCCGCCGCCGCTGCCGCCGCCGCTGCCACTGCCTTTGCCGCCACGGTCCCCGCGGTTGCCGTCCCCGCGCTGCCTCCGGGAGCTTCCATTGTTCCAGCGGCGCCGTGTCCCGAGGCCGGGCAATCTGGGGGCTTGCGAAACGGGTAGCGGCTGACGGAGTTGAAACACCGGGGTGCCGTCGGGACCGGGAGTAGCAGGGGTCAGCGCGGGAATCCCGGGCAGCTGGGGCCAGAGCGTGGGGCTGCAGGGGGCCGGGGTGGCGAGGTCTACGGCCTCCGGAGTTGGGGCTCCCCCTTCCCGGCCCGACTTTCCCCGCCGGCCTCCCCCAGTGGGAGTCGGAGCCCCGGCGGGCGCGCCCGGCGATGAGCCCGGACTCGAGGTGGCCGGTGAGTGCGGGCCTGGGACCAGGGCGGGAGTGGCTAGCGGGGAAGGGGTAGGCTATTTTCGTAGGGCGCGCACTGAACTGCCTGGCCCAGGGACTACTCGGGCTACTCCAGCTGGGAAAACTGACAGTGCATTCTCTCCTGCCGGCATCCCGGGGCAACAGTGTATCTTTGGGGCTGTCTTAGCCAATGGCAGAAGGGGAACCTTGTTTAACTTGTTACACTTCGACAAAGGGGAAACGCCGTCGCATCCGGGAGAGAGGGCTGCGGGCACTGCTGGGGCCGGGCCTTGTCCCTCCAACCCCCGCCTCCTACTTCCTCCAGCCGCCATACCCCTGGGCCCGGGCCCGGGCGGTCCCCATGGGCTTCAGGTTTAAGCGCTCCCTCGTCTGTGCCTCTGGTGCTGGGTCCCAGTGGTACGTTTCTGAGTGAGCTGTGCTACTTCGGAAGCTAGGGCAGCAGAACCGCAGCATTCACCTGGGACCTAGCTTGGAAAGAGGAGAGCTTGTTTGTGCCTCCCGTTGGTTTCTGTTTAAAGACACAGATGCAGGTAGGAAGTAGAAACTAGTTGGAGTTGAACGTGTAGATTTATTTATGTGGAAGTCAGGGGCTGTTGACAAAGATGCTGGAACAGTCCACTTGCCTGGTTAAGTCATGGGAGAGAGGCCTGAGGAGTCACTGTCAGAAAGCTCAGTGGGGCTATGCCTAGCTAGGATGGTGCCAAGTCCTCTGCTGAATTGTTGAACTCAACTAGGCAGAGAGAAATTGGGACAGTCCCTGACCAAGCTCAGCTTCCTGGGGGCTGGTGCCATCTGCTGTCTCCACTCACCCAAGAACATTGGAGAAGGGGGAGGGAGAGCTCCTTAGCCAGAGCTTGGAGCTGAGTGTTCCTAGATTGTTGTGTTCCTGTTCGTACCCTTAGGGCCTAGCACTTGGTAGGCCTTCAGTTGTTGTGGCACGAATGGGTGAAGGAAGAGCTCAAATGTCATACCTGCAGGGCACAGAGTAAATGACCTCAGTTTTCACTTGGCTCCACAATTACTCTCCCAACTCAGTGTCTGGGCCAGGGTGAGCCTCCCCATAAAGACCCCAGAAATAAACTAACTCTTTCTATAATCCAGTGATTTCTGCAGGTGTCCAAGAGTAAATCATGGGGCACCCATTCTAGCTTTTACATGAGCTAAAACTAGTTTTCATCCCATTTCTCTCAGCTCCAAATCAGGTAATCCCCTCAATCAGCTATTCATTTATTTGCCAGAAACTAAGTGTCCGGTGCATGCTAGGTACCAGGGAAACAGAGGTGGATTAGGCTCTGTTGTTTGTACTGCACAGCTCCCAGTCTAAAGAGAAGAGACAAAGAACTTACAGTATGGTAAGGACTATGGTGGAGGTGAGAATGGAGTGCTGCACAGACACAGCTTCCCATGAGAGAGTCAGATCATAACAGAAGTAACATTTCAGCTGGGTTTTAAAGAATGGTTAGGAGCCCACCAATCAGAGAGTATGGAGGGCAGTCCATATAGATAACCATTCTGCAGGAAGGAGAGGTTAAAATATTCAGGAAATAGCAGGTTGCCCTTATGGACAGAAACAGTTGTAACTGGTAAAAAGAATCTAGAAAGGCGCTTCTTGATTGTCATCATAGACAATTGGATATTATCCTATAGAAATTGGAGGACATCAGGAGGCTTATAGTCAAGAGACTTTTAATCAAGAGACAGGTATGATCATTACCACTTGGTAGAAAGATCACTCTGGCTGCATTATAGGAGATTAGGCTAGAGGAGTTGAGATATAGGACAGGTTACCAGGCAAGTAGTGATGAGGGCCCAGATCAGGACTATGATAGAGGAGATGGCATTTGGAGACACTATAGAAGTAGACTGGACAGGACCGGGTGACCCTGGGGAGAGAGGGGATTGGGAGATAGTGGGATCTCTGATACAGGTGGCCAGGAACTCTTCCCCAGGCCTAGGCTAACTGATCTGTGTATTCTAGATGTGACAGCATGGGGGTGGACTTTGACGTGAAGACTTTCTGCCACAACTTGCGGGCAACTAAACCACCATATGAGTGCCCTGTGGAGACCTGCCGCAAGGTCTACAAGAGTTACAGTGGTATTGAGTACCACCTATACCACTATGACCACGACAACCCACCACCCCCGCAGCAGACTCCACTCCGGAAGCATAAAAAGAAGGGGCGCCAGTCACGCCCAGCCAACAAGCAGTCGCCGAGCCCTTCAGAGGTATCACAGTCACCAGGCCGTGAGGTGATGAGCTACGCAC